AACGGTTAAAACTTGAGAAAAAACCAAGTCAAAAATCAATTGAAATTTTAAAAGATTTTATTAAAAAAATTCAAAATTCTTTTGAAAAAGAACAGAAATATATTGGATATCAATTGGAACACTTTCGTTTAATCCCAGAATTATTAAAGCGATTAATGACTTATTACTGTTGTTTTGCTACTCAATTACCTCTCTTTGAATCATCAAAAAATTTATTACGTCAAATTGAACAAAATACAGTGATTACCATTGCCACGTCAACTGGATCAGGTTAGTTTACCTCTTTACGAATCACCCATGTCTACATAATAACTTTGCATAAATCAGAAATGAAATTATCTAGAAAATGTCATTTGATATTCAATAAACCTCTCATTTTGAGGGTGGGGTGGGTGTGGATGAGTATGGGCATTACATTAACCTTACTATGACCAGGGCCCGCACGAAGAGTCTAAGATTGTGGGTGTGTAGCGGGTTTTGAAAGAGTAATAGTTTTTGGAGGGTGTAAAAGGGTATTTAGAGCAAAATTTGTTCCAAATCATCTCTTTTTGTTGAAAAAAAACAAAAATTTCCAGTTATTGGGGAGTGTACACTCCCCCCATTCCGCCCCGCTCGCGCGGACCCTGACTTTGACACCCACCCTCGTTACAGAACTTGTCCGATGTAAAGACTATTTTTATTTTCTTTAGGAAAATCGACATTATTACCAGCTTTACTTGTTGCTGAAGGATATAGTAAAGTGATGGTAACTCAACCGCGTCGTTTACCTTGTAAATTAATTTCTCAACGTGTAAATGAAACTATGTCAATTGATACAAATCCTAATTCAGATAAAATAGCTGGCTGGGCTATTAGTGGCGACGAAGATAATCCTCGTGCTGAAATTCTTTATTTAACTGATGGTTTACTTAAAGAACGTTTACTTTACAATGAAAATTTTATTCCAGCTAATAGTTCGATTGTTTTATTCATTGATGAAGTTCATGAACGTTCAGTTAATATTGATTTATGTTTAGCATTAATCGCGAGAATGCTATCTACAAAACAACACTCAATGAGTAAATTAAAAATTATTATTTCATCTGCTACACTTGATACATCAGTTCCAAATCTTTTTAAAAAAATTCCACAAATTAAATTTTCAGAATTTACAATGCCTCTCATGGGTACTTTGTATCCTGTTACGAAATATCCTCGTCCAAATGAAAATATTTTAGATATTGTTCAAGAATTATATAAAAAACGACAAAGACATGATCAAATTTTATGTTTCGTTAATTCTGTATCAGAAGTTAATCAATGTGTTCGTTTATTAAGTGAAATAAGTCGTGGAACAATTATTGCTTATCCATTAGTACAATCTCAACAAGCACAACAACAAGAATTATTTCTTGAACATGGAAGTGTTTTCTTTTCAACAACTGTTGCTGAAACATCTTTAACATTTCCTTCATTAAAATATGTTATTGATACAGGAATGATTAATATTCCTGTTTATGATTTAGATTCTAAACGAACAATTCTAAAAGAAGTTCGAGCAGCTGAATCAACTATTAAACAACGTCTTGGACGATTAGGTAGAACAAGACCTGGAGAATATTATGCACTATATGATTTTGATGTTAAACAAAAACAATTTCCAACAGCACAAATATGTCAATCGGATTTAGTTAATATTGAATTTACATTAACAAAATCACCATTAAAACAAGGATTAAATTATCTAAAACAATATTTACCCGATAGACCATCACAACAAGCTATTAATTTAACCATTCAAGAGTTAATTCAATTTAGTGAGTCCTTTTCATAATACTTCAACGATATTTAAACTCATATAAGAAGAGAATTATTTATAGATGCGATGTTGATCAATCTTTTAGTCCATTCTTATAGAGCCTTCCTTTTTGAATCTGTTCGATCATAGTTTTATTTTTATAGTATTAATTTTTTCAATACGAATATATTAAACTATTTCAGAGGTATTGGGAACAGATGCGAACAATCAGTTAACAAATTATGGTAAAGCTCTTGCTAAATTACCTGATTTTGGTTCTGTGCCAATGTCGAAATGTGTCTATGCTGCTCTTGAAGAGTATCGTTGTGGACGTGATTTAATTTGTATTTCATCAATGTTAAGTGTTTTAAATACAACTATTATATTTAAATCTATACCACAAAATTTCAAAAGTCCAGATGGAGATTTTATGACACTGTTAAATATAATGAATGAAATTTTATTACTTAGAGAATCAGTATCACCACAACAATTTAATATAAAACGTGTTTGTCAAGCTAAAGGTTTAACTAATATCGAACATCTTATTCGACAAGCATTAAAACGTTATACGAATTTAGAGAAAATATTTAATCGTTCAAATGAATATTGCGAAAAAGCTCAAATTAAATGTGGTAAATGGGAATTTGTTGCTAAAGCATTACTAGCTGGATATTCCGATAATGTTTTTATTTCAATGAAAGATTTACAAGATAAAATTCATCAATTTATGCGATATAATGATAGAAAAGATTTAGCAGTTTTAGATTTACAATCAACATTAACTCGACCAATAAGTCAGGCACCTGTTTCACTTATTTTTGCACGAGATGTACGTTATTTAAGCGCTATTCGTTCTACAGCTGTTCTTTCATTTGTTGGAGAAATTAAATCTGAATGGTTAAATTTTAATATTCAAAGACAAATTGATTTAAATAATGAAGAAGTAACTTATTTAAATACAAATAATAAATACTCAACTGCTGTATCGAAATTTTCAAATAAAATAAATATGCAATTAAATAATGGTATGGTTTCTTTAAAAGGTCCAGCAAGTGTTGTTTTAAATGCTGAATTACATCTTCGTCAAGAAATGATTACAGAATTTACATTTAATTTAGAAAATAAGAATCCACCTAATTCGGCTAAATATGCTAATTTAGCTCGAAATCTTGAAGGTGTAATGAAAATGATACGAATATTTAACCCTATGAAATGGAGATGGGAAGCTCAAAAACAAGTTAAAATAACTGTTAATAGTGATACAGCAACTAAAACATGTAGAATAACAATTAAAGGAAGAGATTCAGATATAAAAATAGTTAAAGAAGAATTTGATTCATTTTTGAGATGGTTACAAGATTGTGCTGTCATTAGACATCCGAATGCAGGTAAAGTTATTTTTAGTTTTATCTTCTTATGAGAATCGTATTTCACAAAAGTTTAGATTGATTCTGTAATAGTATTTTGAGTGCTACTAGGTCTTATTGAGTTCATCAAGGATTTAATATAATCTATTTCTATTCAGGTGTTCCTCCACGTATTCTTGGTCCACAAATGCGTAAAGATTGTCGTGATATTGAAGAGAGAATTTGTCATATAACCGATAGCAAACGAACATTAGTCGATTTATATAATGGTGTTAAAGGTTCAAAAGCAACACGTGAAACACGAATGGAAGTTGTTGCTTGGATTACTGTTTGCAAATTTGATTGTCGATTAGAAGGTGGTTTTGTTCGTGATTGGGTTGTTGGAAATCATGAATCAAAACCAAATAAAAATCCAACAAGTTGGCTTGAATATACTACAAACAAGAAAGGTCAACAAATACCTGCTATTGTTAAACAAGTTGTTCCAGCTGATTTAGATTGTCATTTACCTACACATGCATATTTTGATGTTGAGAAATTTCAAGATGAGCTTTACAAATTTGATATCAAATGTGACGTTGTTAGAGAAAATTGGAGATATATTATATTAGTTGATAAAGATACTACAACAGGACCATTTACTATGGATTTAATTGAACCACATGTTGCATTGACGCATGATAGAATTGATTTTGATGTTAATAATTTATCATTAGAAAAAGATTTTACACGTGATTTAGCTATGCGTGTTAATATTCAACAGAAACCTTATTCAATTGAACTTGAACAAATTGTTGATAATATTAAAAATAAACGTTTTCAAGTACTACGACCAATAGAGCCTCAAGTACAAGACCGAATTATTAAAATGACTACTATTCGTGGTTGGACACAATTAGGACAACCATTCAATGTTATACCTGAACCACCTCCAAAATATTATTCACTTCTAATACCATTACCACCGCCAACCACTTTATATCAAGGTGTAGCACAAGAAATGAGACAAATATCAGGTTCATTACAGATTGTATCAATTGAACAAGTTAAAAATCCATATTTAGAAGAAGCATATGAAGCTATGAAAAAAATCATTTCAAAACAATGTACAGGATTTAATCCAAACGAACGTTTTCTCTATCATGGAACTAAGTATGAAGGAATTAACGGAATAGCAGAAGATGGTTTTGATGATCGATTTTTCGTTCGTGAGGGTTATTGGGGTAAGTAATATATGGCTCTGTAGAAACAGTAATCTATCAAGAAATCGAAGAATAAAATCAGTATAAATCTAATGATAGTTTGTGCAAAATGAGTTTACGTTCTAAACAAATTAATTTATGAATCTCATTTAGTTTAAAAGATAAAATAACATATGATTCGCTCCTCCTGTCATTATGAACACATCTAATTCAATAGTATGATTTTTATTATTTAGGTCATGGTGGTTATTTTGCGGATGATCCTAAAAAATCTCATGATTATACAGTGTCTAATGCAACAGATCAAACTCGTGTTATGTTTTACAATAAAGTACTTTTAGGTAATGAATCAATACAAAATGTAGTTGATCAAACGTTGATTTCAGCCCCGAAAGGATTTCATTCAGTCCGAGGAACAGCCTTCCCATATACTGAATATATTATTTATCGTTATGGTCAAGCTTTACCTTATTTAAAGATAACTTATAAAGCTTGATTTACCCGAAATTCAATATTATTTTATATTTTTATTTTTAATCGAAGATTCTTTTGTAATTCAATAAAATAAATGTGTCTTTATAAATGAAGAGTGTTGAGGTGTTGGTATGAGCTAAGAGGAGAGACACCCACACTCCACTCTCACGATTCCATTCACAAAATTATGTCAAATTTTTGAATTCGATGATTAAAATGATCAGCAACATAAAGATTTCCTTCATTATCAAAAGATAAACCACAGAGACGATGTAATTGATTTGATTGATTTCCTTCACCACTTCCACCAACAACAATTTCACCTTCTTCTTTTCCTTCACGCCAACGCATTACTCGATGATTGTAAGAATCTGCTACATAGGTTTGACCCAAATCATCAACAATTATTCCTTGAGGATAAAACAATTGATTGAGATTTCTTCCTTGACCATTTCCTCCAGCCACAACTGTTCCTTCCTTTGCATCTTTTCTCCATTTCATCACACGATGATTGTTCACATCAGATACATAAACAGATTCATTTTCGTCAACAAAGATGAAAGTAGGAGCATGGAGTTGATTGAGTTGATTTCCTTTGTCATTTCCACCTGCCGCTACAATTCCTTCATTGTCATATTCTCCCATTTTCCATCGTCTGACTTCATTCTTCATATAATCAGAAACATAAAGAAATCCATGTTTATCCATTGCCAAGCCCCAACAGTCAATATTATCAATGAGAATTTGTTGATTTTGATTCAACCATTGAATCACTCGTCTGTTCCCTTGATCAGCAATGATGGTCGAACGACTCTGTTGATCAAAAATCACGTCTGTTGGACAATTCAATTGATCTATTTGGTTTCCTCTGCCATTTGCACCTGCAATGATTTTTCCTTCCTTTGCATTATGTTTCCATTCAATAATACGGTGATTCCAAAAATCAGCAACGAAAATATTTTTCTTTCCATCAATAAAGATTCCAAAAGGACGACTGAGTTGATTTAATTCTTGACCTTCTCCGTTTCCACCAGCCACAGTGATTGCATTTTGTTTCCATTTGTCCCATTTCGGTTCTAGAAAATGATGCAAACAAAAGATTCTGATGAAACGAAAAAGAAGAAAAAGATTTTGTTCATTTATTTTTCCTTAAATAAAAATTTGAAAATGATTCAATTTTGTTTTTATCTTCTTCCTTATCAATTTTCTTTATTTTTATAGTTTCTTAAAATAAATTCATATAAAATGAGAATTATCCTTCTAGAAATAATTTCTTAAAAACTTACTTTTTGGAAAAGTAATTGAAATATCATTAATAAATGATTGTGGATTTTGTTGAATAAACATATTTGATGGATTATTTAATTCTTCTGTAATTTTTCTTAGTTGATTCCTTAAATAATTTAAATTAATTTCATTAAATTCGTTTTCTTTTTGAAATTGTTTTATTTGTTGATTTACATCATTAAATTTCATCTCAATATCATTAATACATGTTTCTGATGATTTAATGAAGATTTCTCTGCACTCCTGCGCTTTTTGTTGAATTTTTTGAATTGAATCTATTTCCCATTGATCAATTTGTTTGATTAATGAATGATTTTGTGGATTGTGTTTTTGTTCATTAATTGTTTGTTTACATTCATTATATTCATCGGTGATATGATGTAATTCTTCATTTAATATTTGTTTATGTTTTGCTAAATCCATAAAACAGAATTCTTTGGAACATCCTTTACAAGGATATGTTATTTTTTCTTCATTACATATAAAACATACAGTTTTATTATTTGCCATTGCCATGTCGTTGAATATAAATTTATAGAAGAAATCTAAAAAGAATTTTTTTTATGAGGGTGTGGGTGTTAGTGAGTTGTGATTGCTTCACACTCACACTCATGAACGCTTATTAGAATTGACTAAATCTTACTGAGATCTACTTAGAACAGAGAGATGAGTTCGAAAGCTCAGAATCAGTTGTATTAGTACTCATAGTTTGTCCTTCTATTTCTGGATGATCTAATCTATGATGGTTAGTTGAATTTGTCGTTGCTGATTGACTCATGATAGATTAAAACACCAGTCATGTTTTACAAATAAGAAATGAAAAAATGATACTCTCCTGATAATACTCTTTTCTTCAACGCTTTTGAAAAAATATCATATCGTCATCGAAGAAAACGTGAGATAAACAGCCACTAAACATATATAAATACGAATACAAGAAAAAAAAACTTAAATATATTTTTTCACGTCCTTTTCTTCCTCTTGAAAATAACCGTCATAAGCGATTTTTTTTTATTCCGTCATTATTTGTGTAATGTAAAGTGCCTCTATATGATGATTTGATGTACCTGTTTTCCTCCTATCCTTAACAAAATTTCGATATAGAAACGTAAAAGAAAAAAAAGAATATACCAGCATTGACTCATTATTTTTTGTTTCATTCATATGTGCTTGTGTTTTCAAAATATGTGTTCGTAATACGACAAAAAAAACAGTTAGTTAAGTTAAAATATTTCATATGATAAAGAATTAAAAGACAAGATTGAAGGAAAAAACTAACAAAAGATTAAGTCATATGATAGAAAAGAAATAGAAATACATTGATAAAATTATCTAATTCATTAAAACTCTATTAGATTATCTTCTTGAGGGGAGGTGTGAGTCTGGATGAGTGGAAAATGTGGTAAAAACTGAAGAAACTTCAGGTTTGTGGAACAAATCGACGTATTTTATTGAGCAGTCATCCTATTCCGGAAAGTTACACATTCCGGAATCGCTTGG